GAGTGAATATGGGGTCATAAACATGCATGCAAGCAGGCAAGCAAGCAAGCAAGGAAAAGAATCTGGAGTGATGGCTCTGAATTTGGGCAAGTACCTATGCCATCTGGATGGAATTCGACTAACAAACACGTTAATTTTGTTTGTTTGCTTTAATGTTTATGAGACTGATGATAGGATGGAGATGAGCTACTGGAATATGCCGTGGCCAAATATGACATCTGAGTGTTTCATGGTCACCAGCCTTATAAGCAGCAAAAGGTCCAGCATATGCGTCGTTTGGCTTACAACCACTAGGCACATACCAGACCAAGGGAGTCGAGGTAGAATTGAAGCAGCTGGAAGAAAAATATCTTGGTCACAGCCACCTTGGTTGGCATGGGCATTGCACAGTCCAACTATTGAAGCTCAAGAAGGCTATCACGGGACTCTCAACAGCGACTTTTAGAAGGGCTTGAGTGCCAATTGAAGAATATAGTTTTTTGTATACCCTTAAAACAGTCAATGAGATAAATATTTATTTGTTTCATCATCACCAGTGATAGGAGTAGTAGTAGTAAGTTTTCTAACACGATACACATTTAAAGAATATAAGAAGTGAATGGATATGCTGAAATTATTAGTTAAAATTTGATTCAGTTGCCAGTTGTATCAGTAAATATTCATTATCGTAGAGTTATTAATTAACTTGGATAAGTAATACATGTTTACTCATTTGATTGTTGAATATGATTGATTTTAATGTCACATGTATGCAGATATTAGAGTAGATTATAAGTGTTTATTAGATAATGAATTCATTGAATTGATTGCCAAAAAACATTAATAATTATATTGTCAATAATTATTGCAAGTGATCCTTGAACAAAGGAGTGTTATGGTATTTTTACGTGTAACAGTTTATAATTTGACAATATTAGAGCTCCGGTTCAAATACAGATTAGGCTTAATAGTAGTGCTTTGGGGTGGTGAATGCATGAGGACTTGCAAATGCTCAATAAGGATCTATGGTTATCCTTAAAAGAAGAAAATATCTTGTGCAATTTATATGGATATGATTCAAGGAGTTTGTGGGCACGGGAGACAAGAATTAGAAAAAGGCATTCTAATTATGTATACAAGTTAATTATTCTACCATGGTTAAGTATATTTATTAGAATTAGAGATTTGTCATAAAAATTTATATCTTATCAATACTGATTGGGATACAAATAATAGAATTACTGAATTGTATAAAAATTATAGTGATAATTTATGGTTCACTCATGATTTTGTAAAGATGTCTAATTAAATTCTTAATTGTAAGACAATTGGATCATACTTATTTTTTCATACTAATTTTAGAATGATAATCTAAGAAATTCATAGACAATACTGATATGGATAAACATTTTTGAAATTATTTCATAATTAATATGAACTTCTTATATAAATATAATGTCCACATATTTTGTCATATTTGTCCTTCTATAATAAAGGGAATTGTTCTTCTATTCTTTGAATTTAACTGGCTATAAAAGGCCATCACGTGATTGGTCAAAAAGAATTTTTTGAGCCATATTTAAGCAATTAAAAATTTTAACTATTTCTTAAATTTTGTATATTTATATAATCCTAAAATGTTTCTTGAGTTATTGGACTTAAATTTTTGCTGTCTATTTTTATTTTTAAAACTAAAAAGTCCACGCACGCCGTATGGTGTCAATGCCAAATGAGATTCTGGCCAAACCCCAGTCAGATTTAAAATATGAACTTGTGATTCAGAGCGCCATGGGTATTCCTTGGTCCACTATCGAGCCTAACAAGTGAAAATGGGAATGTGTATAGACTCGACGCCCAGTGTTAGTCCCGTGATGGCTTTTGCACGGAAGAAGCTTACTTTCTCTAAGAAGGACTTGGTGTGGTGCCATTGCATTTAATTCTGAAAGCCTCTAACCTAGATTATTGTGAAATGGACGAAGGGAAGCCTAAAATAGTCTAAATTTAAATATCCTTTGAGCAAGGCTGAAGCTGCTTGGGTAAAGAGCATCGACGGTGCCACAGCAAAACTCCTCGTTGAGGCCTGCAAATGTCGTCCATTGAATAATTTGAACAGTCTTTGTTTAATTAAATATCACTGTCAGTGTACAAAAATTTAGGAGTTTCACGTACTGGGCTCAATGTTTACCATGTGGTTACTAGACTTGTTGAGTTATTCAGTGCAAATACTTGTAACTTTAGCAGTATTTCCTCTTCAATCTGGATCTATGTCGCTCACTCTGCCTTCTCACGATCTTCTACTATTGTTCTTTCCATCTCTATCAAACATCTCATAAGCTCTTCGTGAGTGCACTCCCAAAAGGAGTCATTCTGGCTCCACATGTCCTTCCAAGGTTGTGATTGGTTGAAGAGTTGTCTCCTCGACATCTTATCTTTATTTTTGAAGCCATGTCGCATCTTCACTCCCGGGTTAGTGTCGTCAGACTTAGTTTTCATGCATGGCGGCATCTCTTCTAGTCTACAGCACTTGTCATCCCGCCAGGCTAGCCAAAATATTGTCAGTAAAATTTTTGGCCCCGATTAAAGATAGGTGGGCGTGCCAAAGTTGAGAGCAAATCTAATCCTGGAAAATAATCAAACAATTGCTTGCTAACACACCGGATTTTATGTTGGAGTGAATTCAAAACCTCAATCAAGAGTTTTTCAACATTTATCAAGTGTAAAATTCAACCAATTAACATATATTTTTATAAATTTTTATAAATATTACTGTAGTATAAATATACTTTCATAAAAATATAAAAGTATCGAAATAATAAAATAATCAGACAGTGAAATAACTACTAATCTAGCAAATCTTATGTTAGCTCAAAACTATGATTGATGTGTAAAACTATTAATTACTTCTGGAGATTCCTTAAAACTCCTAATGATCCTAATATGTGAATCCTAAAACTCCAAGAACATCGGCTCTCCCAAGTTGAAAATACTAAAGCTAACCTTGTTGACAGCAAGATGAAAAAATAACTAACCTGGTCAAATTGCAAAGACTCATGTTGGGTATGGAAAATCTTAGTGATTGTTATTATATTATGGAATAATTATATGATGTTGAGAACCGATCTCTTTAGTATCATCATTTGTAATATTTATATACTCTCGTATCTCCACTAATCTATTTTTTTTTATAATATCCCACCTAGCGGATCAACTACTCGTATTTTGAGAAAGTGACTTTCCAACTAATCACTCACATGTCTCACCGAATAAAGTGAGTTTTTCATGTTTTAACGTGTGCTCCACTTTCTGATAGTTTTCCTTAACATCCAATGACATTCCCACTTGTCCAATTTCTTGGGTAGGCCGCAGCAATCTCAAGTACCTGATTTTGCCATTTCAGAAATAACTAATTTTAGCCCAAAACATAAATTAGATAATTCATATTGGCCCCCAGGCTTTCAACCACCTTGCACATAGACCCAACAAAATTACAGACCAGTCCCTCAACTTTGGCCTCTTTTTTCAGAGGCCCCACATCTTTAAGGCAATAAACAACTAATGATTACAAGGTTGACAAGGAAAACTCTTTTTTTCGGTTGAATTTTTCATTTTAAGGTTGACAACTAAGACATATTTTTTAAAAAAATTGCCAAATGGAATTTCTTCTCATTACTAATTGATCTTATTAACTTTTTATACATACAATCGCCACTTAAAATGAAATTCCAATTTAATTCTCAAATATCATACCCGCAAGGTCCAGATCATCTTTTTCACACAATGACAAGAATGATCGAAAATGTTAACGCCGTTGAAGGAAACATATCAAGGCCTTATCTAGTTTCTCCATCAACAATCAATCCGACCCACACCTCTAGCCGCCACAAAGGTCTTCCGAAATCGGACGTGGCTACAAGAGGTCGTGATTGAGGTTCTCACCCACAAAAGAGTAGTTAAGGACTGAGAGGGTAGCCCAGTGGGGTTGGGATGGGGTAGGCCCCAAGATTTTCAAAAATTACTTATGAGCCCCCGATATATATATACCGAGGGGTTACCCAAAAAATAAAATTAATTAAAAGGCTCAATTTGATAGTTTGAAAAATATGAATCATCAAATCGCATAACTCATAGTGAAGATTGACTGTAATAGAGAACGGAGACGCTCTTAATCAGCATCATACTCTCTTCTCTTCACAGAGAGCTGCTCCTAGCCAGGATGAAGCAAGGCCTAGAAGTCTGCAGAAGTCACAGCTTGGAAGAAAGTCCTAAATCAAGATGTTTAAAGCACATAAACCCTTGAATTCTATATATTTCAAGCATCCTCACAAGCTTAGGGATTCCCTAAGCATATGGATATTGCCAGATATCTTTAAAATCCCAGGATTTAAGTTCTAAAGTCCAAAATCCCTTGTGTGCCAGAGACTGCTTATACCAATTCTAAAGCAAAACTCGCTGTTCTAGGCAGGTTGGTTGGTTGGTTATTTTTTCTTTCTTTCCTTCTCTCTCAGAGCTGTGCAGATTAGATGGAGTTTTTTGTTGGACGTGCTGTAATTCAAGGAACACTCGGATATGATCAAACCCCCCCAAAGTCAAGACCTAAAATCCACTAAAAGAGGCGGCAAACCAGGGGGAAAAGAAAACAGAAATTTAAGAAACAGAAAGATGATAGGAACAAAGACCAGGGCCAGTAATGGTTACATCAGTATGCAAGATAAACAAGGAACATAGTAAAAAGTTTGAAATGCTTCCAAATGCTTTAAACAGTATTAATATGCAACACAAGTTTCAACTCTCATCCAAAAGCCCGGTGATCAAACCCACATAACATAAATATTGAGATTGAGTGATCATCAACCAATATATTTATTCTTGCAAGAAGACTATCCACATCAAAGGAAGCTGTGACCATTTTTTTGGAAATATCGCTCATTGATCATTACCCAAACCACAGGTTTCAAATTGTTATTTGAATGACAGAAGGACCTTGAACTTAATTTACCCATGCACTCGAATGCAAGATCAGCTTACAACTTGGGCACAAGACGAGGGGCATCCCACGGAGCCACAACGTGGTTGCAAGTAATCTCCTTAAGTGAGCGGCAACCACTTAAAGCCATAGTAAGCTCAAATTCATCATGGAGAATCTGGAGAACCTTCCTAACTCCCGCCTCACCATCAGCAGCCAATGAAAATACCACCGGTCTCCCAATCTGGAAGTTTTTGTAACATTAAATAGCTTAATTTGTACCCTTTCAGAACCATATTAAGACAAGAAACTTCAAGAATGACCATCATTGAATTTTTGGTAAAGAGTTAGGCATCCAGCTTCTAGGTCTCATCTAAGACTAGTAATTTTAGGCAATTAATGACAAGATAATTATTACTTAGATAATTACAAGAAAATATTTCGCAAATTCGCTGTTAAGAGGTAAGACATTCCATTCACTTACAAATACTCCAGATGCCCCAAGAGCCAATGCTTTGAAGACATCTGTCCCACGCCGAACCCCTCCATCCAGAAAAACAGGTACTCGGCCTTCTGCAGCTTTAACAACCTGGAAATTATGTCAAATTAATGAACCAAAATTTAGCAGAACTAGACAATTAATTTTAATTAATGCAAAATCAATTAGTACTTTACTATTTATCAGCACAGAAACAAAATAAAGATCAGGAAACCATTCACCAAGAGGAAAGGCTTAAGCAGCCACTAATCATGTTTAGGTGACATAATGAGACAAACCAGAGGACTTGATTATATTAAATTGAAGGGTTGGGAATTGACATGACTATTGAGCATATAATATGCGGTACATATCACGTAGAGAGGAAGAAATAAGAGTACATTATTAAATTCACAAGGTTCTTAACTTCCACAGCTCCACGCAAGAGGGAAATGATACATTAGTCCTCTCACTTAGGGTTCTGAGAGTAAAAAGGAAAAAATTGTGTTGATTTAACACCACTCAGAAAGAAGGAAATTTTGTTCTTTCTTTGTATTATTTGGAAAGGGGTGGGGATGTTTCATGCGGACACCTTCTTTTAAAAGTTAAATAAATAAAAGACAAAAGGATTGCCGGTAATGCAGACATCAGTATGATGATCACTTTGTTGCCATGCACCATCACTAATTGTCACCAAAAATCAAACAGTGAAACTCGTTAGACAAGTTAACCACCACAAGGGGAAAACAAACTGACATACCTCTTCCAAAGCCATAATTGTTGCAGGTACATAATCAAGCTGGCGAGCTCCATGGTTTGACACAATGATTCCTGCAGCTCCAGCTTGTACAGCTATCCTGGCTGCACAATTTTCCCAAAAAGTGGATTAAATGATAAGAACTTTAGCAGTCAAGGAGTAGACAACAAAAAGGTGAAGACACATGGCTTCCAATACTCTTATCTTGCTTACCATCCTCAGCAGTTAAAACACCCTTCACTAAAATAGGTAATTTGGTGATCGTTTGAAGCCACTTTACATCCTGCACACAAAGAAAAAGAGAAGCTATTTAAAGTAACTTCCAGCCAAAGTCTCAAAGGAAGACAGAAGAAAGCTGTTCCACCTTCCAGTTTAGGGATTGGTCAACTTGGTCTGCGGCATATTGAGCTAATCCAGAGCCATTGATCTGTATGCCACCCAGAAAATTTATCATAAGCAAATGCGGACCATGGATGACAACACATAAATTTACAGTTGATGTTTACGCCATTCACCTTATCTATCCTGCCTAGATCTAAACCCTCAAAGTTCTTCAGTGTCAAATGAGGTGGCATAGCAAACCTGTGGATGGAAATAGTGTTAGCCAAATAAATCATCTATCAGAGACTTGGACCAAAAAATAAAGGATTCAAATGAATAACACTTCAATAGAAAGAATTAATTGATTTGGGACTTGATAATTTTGAACATAATTATAATTATTTATTAATTTATTTTTGGGAAAAATTTTCAGTCCACCTATTCTTAATATCAGCTTCCCTACGGCCAAGCCTTGGAGTATCCACAGTAAGGGCTATTGCCTTGAAGCCAGCCCTTTCAGCTCTTTTTACTTGCTGTGCAACCACATTCCTGTCCTTTAATACCTAAAGCAAAAGTAAACAGAAAATTGATTAAGTAAAATGTATTAGATGAGACAAACACATTGGAAAACATCAAAACAAAAGAGAGTAATTTTAAGTCTTTTGAAACAATGGGAAGCACCATGACTAATCGAAAAGCAACTGAAGACTAGGAGAAGCTCTCAAACTCACATAGAGCTGGAAAAAGCGGATGCCAGGTCCTGTTGAAGCAACCTCTTCAACACTGGAAGTAGACCACGAGGACAATGTCTGGAATATATTTAAAAAAAAAAAGGCAAGCACAATTGACTTAAAGATATATAGGAAATGTATCAGAACAGAATTTAAGATATATATAATAAAAAAAGCCATCATTACAGAACAAACACAGAAAAAAATAAACAAGATAACAGGACACAGAGAGAGAGGGAGAGAAGCAAAACCATTATTGTGCCAGCAGCAGATGCTGCTCTAGCCGTTGCCAATTCTCCTGCACCGCAATTCAACAAAGAAAAATATCATTCTAGATTTTTCCTCTTATATATTGATAAAATAATCCTCCTTCCCCAACCAAAAAAAAAAAAAAAAAAATGAACACATGCTTGGAAACATAACAGTGTATCAAATGGAGAAATCAATAAACAAAATTCCTTCTTTAAATACTTGGAAAAAGCATATTCCCAAATTTTGCATCAACTTTAGATAACGTATTAGTGAAGAACTTTTAGCAAATTAGTGGATGAAATAATTTTCAAAGTTAAAACTAAGGTAAATGGCAGACAGAGTAATCCTTATCAATCTTGATGCCATAAGATTAAGTTCCTATTTTTGTGGTCTTGATACAAAATTTAGTAGTTTTAGTTACAATTTTCTTTTCCTGAAATATTTTTAACTCCCAATCAAGCTGTCACATATTATGACTCACTATTTTCCAGCTTACCATATTTTTCCAGACTATCTACATTGCAGAATTACCACTAGTACAGAAGATGATACCACAATTCAGGTATGTTCAGTTGGAAAAGACTAAGGGATCTGATTTAGTCATCAGAAATACAAAGTTGAGAAAATCCTTTTGTTAAACTCCAAGATGGACAGAAGAAACCTACAATTCTTTCCCGTGTCACTCAACAATTCCAAATTATAAAAGCCAAATGGTCTACAAGTTAATTGCAGTTGGTGAAAATGACCTAGAGAGTGAGTAACATCATTTAGCTGAAACTGAAAATATGTAAGCTACCAACTTTTCCTGTGATGTTTTGAACAAGTCATCACTTGATACTGCCTACATGTCTCCAAACAATCAGCACTGTAATCTCATTCTTTTCATCAAATTTGATCAAGTACTACTCAGTATTCAGAAGGATGACGAGGGGTTCTATTTATTTGTTTTTATTTTTGAATTGGTTGGATCCCTTTCAATATGGAAAATCAAATGATTAGCTTATGGATAATTAGCTGTAATCTCCAACAATGCTACATAATATTGGAATATCATACATTAGCTCATGGATGATTAGCTGGAATCTCCAATAACACTAAATAATAGCTCATAGCCTTGATCAGTCCGGTAGCCATTAAAATCTCCGATCTTAAATTCCATTCTACAGTGACCTTGGTAAGGTGCATTGCCAAGGATGCTGTATATATTATTATTAATTCATTTATACAATGTTTTTATGCTTGTAGAAACCTATTACATGTATATACATGAATCTAAACATAAAATTCAACCAACTCCTTAGGAGAAAAGTTTGCAGAAGCTCAATGAAGCTGAGGCATATATACCTTCAGGATGGGCCATTTTCTGCATAGCTGTTGGAGCAATCATGATAGGCATTGATATTTTGAAGCCTAAGACAGTCGTGGTCATGTCTATGCTGCTTACATCAATAAGAATACGAGGTCGAAACCTGTTTTTTCCAATGGAAAAAATAAGAGTGATCCTGGATCAAAACCTAAACAAGAGTTCTAGCACAAATCAAGATTCATGGCCTATGATGAAATAAGATGAAGTAGAAACATGTTTTTGTTCTTTTTCTACATAGATATTTGGCTTAGATTATTCTACCTCTTTGCGCCATAAAGGAATGCACCAGCCAGGCAAGAGAGAGAATCTAGAGAATCTTACAGTAACAAGATAAGAGCTTACAAAATCCTTGAGAATGCATTTCGGTTCTCTTGGAGAGTCCATTGATCCTCAGCACCAGATGCATAATAGTCATAAATCATCTTTGGCAATTTCTCCTTTGCGATGGCTTGATACTCCATAACATTTGTTATCTGATCCATTCTTCCTACGTGCTGCTATTCTTGCTTCACCTTAAAGTTTTCAAATAACTTCAGAACTTATGAATTTGGCCTGATAAAGTTCAGTACTTCAATTCAGGCTACTCTGATAACTCTAAAATTTCTCAGATAACAGGAAAAGGCCATGCCACAAGATTCAAAGATGCGTGCAGGTCAAAAATGCACAAGTGAAATGAAAAAGAAGAAAGCATGAAGCAACTCGAATATATCTTTTGGAGAAGATCCAAAAAGACACAGAAGAGGCAAGTTAATGGCAGAAAAACGCTATTCACTTTCGCTCGGCTAGTAACTTGAATTTGAACAACTGATAGTTTGGCTGATTTGCCGAAGTTACACCTAAAATATACAAGTCAGTTAATTTTGAAAACTAATGAACAACCAATATCAACATTATACCAATACTATTTTCTTCTGAATTTTCGACCGGAATTTTTTAAAAAAAATCTAATCAGGTTTTCTAATCCCAATCAGTTTTTGTTTTTATCCTTTGCAGAATTTGAGCAGATCTTTGGGTAAAGAGAAAGTTTCTTACGTTCTATCTCCACTAGAAAATACATACAAAATTAACCGATATGTTAGGATGAAAAGCTAGCAGGTGAAAAAAAAAATTCAAGTTGGTAAATTTAAATTTCATCAGAACACTGAAAATGAAAAACAATGTTGGGTTATTTTCTTTGTCATCTTTCTGAATAATTTTCATTTAGGACAAAACACATATATCCTGTCAGCGATAAGAACTCATGGAAACCAAAAATAAGCAAAATTAACTGAAACAAGACATACTGCAAAACTCAAACAATCTCAGGAAACCAGTAAATAGCTGAAGAAACTGAAAGAAGATGGCAATTCAAACACTAGTCCCATACAACAGCAGTAAACACAACTTCAAATCAAACCCAATAAAAGAAAAAGGAAAAATCAAAACAATCATAATTGGAGAACTTACGAGTGAAGAAGAGTGAAGAGCGGAAAAGAAGGCCGCCTCTGCTATGAAGTTTAGAAACGGTGAGTCTGGATGGTTAAAATAGGCGCTGCGGAGAACGTTAGTGAGAGAAGGGGATGCCGATGAAAGATTAATTACATTTTTTTTAATATTTAACTATAACTAAGAAAAAGAAATAAGGAGTAGAAAACAGAGAACCGACAGAGAGTAAGTATAGTAACGACGAGGGTGACGCGATGGCTGATTATCCTAATGTTCCCCGCTAGACGCGTGATCGTCACTGCCCTTCCGAAGGTCTGCGTTGGCTTGGCTGCTTTAATTCTCTCTCCCCTTTTATTCTGGGGAAAAAACTATTTCCCTCCTTTCAGATTTATATAATAATTTTTTAGTTTTTTAAATTAAAAATTATTTAATAAATATTTAATAATTTTATTTTAAAAATATGATTTTTTAAAATTATTTATCTGATTAAAAATTAAAATATTATTTTATTTATTTAAAAATTAAAATTTTTATTTTTATTTCTTAAATTAAATATTTAAAAATAAAAATCTAACTTTCTAATAATATAATTTTACTGCTTTTAAATTTTTTATATTTTATTTTATGATATTTTAATTTTATTTAAATTTTTTAATTTAAATAATACTCAACATTTTTTTAGCGTAAATGATATTTAATCCATTCTTATTTTAGAAATTAAAATAAAACTAAATTTAAATTATCAAAAGTTAAATTTTTATTTTTTAAATTAAAAATAAGAAACTTTAAAAAGATTTTTTATTTCCATTCTTATTTTAGCAATTAAAATAAAACTAAATTTAAATTATCAAAAGTTAAATTTTTATTTTTAAATTAAAAATAAGAAACTTTAAAAAGATTTTTTTATCAAATAAGTAACCAAAGCATGTGAAATTTTGAGTTATCCTTGTATCTTTTTTTAACAAAATTGTTAATTAACAATTAGTTAAAAGAAAAATATTTTTTTATAATAAAAATGAGAACAAGTATTAATTAAGTAAACCTGAATTTTGGCTAGTTTTTCATCGATTGGTCTTTGGAAATTGTTCGTCGATTACCGTCTACCGCTTACCAAGGGTTGGTTGTTGTCGAAGAACAAGGTAAGTAGCTTAATTTTAAGTTTGGTGCAATCAGGTTGGAGTTGTAGGTGTTGAGTCAAGAATCGTTTTATCAAGCAGAGAAGAAGGATCCAGATGGGATCCAAGTCTGAGTTGGTGTAATAGCCCAAATTTCTACTAAATTAATCCAAAAGATCTGATTTACTTTGTATATAGGGGCTTAATTGCACAAAATAAAAGTATCGGGGCTAAATTGTAAATCTTCAAGGTTATTATTGAATAAATTAGGAGAATTGGGGTTCTAAGTAAGAAATTAGGAAGTTTGGAGCTTAAATTTAAACTTTTGGGGTCTAATTGAAAGGAAGTAAAGAGGTGGGACTAGAGTGAAAGGGGCACAGAAAATCGAGGACCAAAATTAAAGCAGGTCAGGGCTAAACTGGAAGAAACAAAAATTAAAGGGGCTGAATTTAGAAACTAGAAAACTTCTAGTTGATAACTGACTAGAAGATCTGGATAATTCGAGTTAAATCAGTGGCCAACTCTTAGATTAATATATATATATATATATATGGATGTGCATATACAAGTTATTTACATTTCCTCTCAACCAATTTCACTAATTCATTTCTATTTGGAGAGTATTATAGTTGAGATGGTTCGTAAGCCTTGTGATGGGTTTGAGACTCCTTTGTGAAAATTCCAGTTTGTGGATCGATTAATTCCTCAATTGAGCTTTAAGGAGTGTTAGCCAACCATCGTTCTGCATTCACTCATGGTTGGCTGTCGTTGGAGAATGAGGTAAGTGAGCTAATTTATGGTTTATGGCTTTCGAGTGAAATTTGAAAGACCTAAGTCTATTTCGGGGTCATCAAGTAAAGAAAACAGATATGAAAAGTATCCAGGTCTGTCCTAGTTTAAGTGTTAGCCAGTTCAGCTTGAGTAGACCAAGTTCAATTGGTTTGGTCATTCTAAAAGCCAATTTGGCCATTTTGGATCAGTTCTAGAGTAACTGAAAAGGTTCAATCCAATTTTGGTGTCCTATTAGTTGGATAAGCCTAATTCAAAGGGTTTTCAGTCTAGTTTTGGTGTCTTGTAGGCTAGACAAGCCCAGTTCGGGGAACTTTCAATCCAGTTTTGGTATCTTGCAGGCTAGACCAACCTGGTTCAAGGAGTTTTTAGTCAACTTTAGGGTATTGAGTCCAGTTTAGGGGATTTTATGACCAGTTAGGCCAATTCAATGAAGTTTAAGGCCCGTTCAATTTGCTTTAGGGGAGTTTGGTGCCAGTCCAGTCTAGTTCTGTGGTGTTTGTTGTCGGTTCAGTATAGTTTAGTGGTGTTTGAGACCGGTTCAAGTTGGTTCAATAGTATGTTAAGCTAGTTCAGGCCAGTTCACTAGTAATCGAGGTCGATTTATGCTGGTCCAATGATATTTAGGGCTAGTTTAATCCAGTTCATGGATATTTAAGGTTGGTTTACTCTAGTTTTAGGGTTTTTATGTAAGATTTAAGGACCAGTTTAAGGAAATCAAGTCCTGAAATGATTTGAGTTTTGGTTTTGGTTTTGATATTATATCCTTGTGATTTCAAATACATTTGAGGAGGTACGTTATGACTATTGAGATTTTATTCAAAGTTTCTAGTTTTTTGGCCTTGCCTTGTACTATGAGTGATAATACTCATTCTATATATGTAATTTTGACTCTAGTAATTATTTATCTGTTATGATATGAGTTATTAGTTTTGAAAATTAAACTCTAGGACAAGCATTTGGTTTTGTGGAAATTTATTGTGAGCTATTTGAAATACTTAGTTTCAATTTAAAATTATGCCTCTATTATATGTATTTTCTAAAAGTCATGTGTTAGGAGTTACTATATTTAAGTTTCAAACAAACACGATAGTGTTCGAGCACTATGTGTTATGTGTATCATTTAGTTCTAGTTCTGATTTTGGTTTTGACTTAGTATGAGATCCTAGTATGATATGTGATATATGATACCTCTGACATGATACGCTCTATTGTGAGATGAGATTTCTGATATTCTGATACTCCCTTATGTTTTCGAATCTATGAGGCATATATGTGTGGTTTTCAGTGATATGTATGTTTGCTCACTATCTTATTATATGTATATGTTTAGAGCATTTTATGATGTATGTCTCAGCCTGACTAGGGTTTGTATTGTCATTCACTAAATTGTACTCGCACCTTTTCCAACATTTTTTAGATCCCAATGTGGGCTTGTCTTTTTTATTGCTTTTTTGAGTAGGTACGTGGTATTCTGTCAAACTACTTTCGATGTATGAGTTTTTGTTGTTTATACCACTTGTACTTTAAAGTTGCTTCATTTTCTCTTCAAATAGGATTATTCCAGTTGTATAGATTTTGATACTTATATCAGTCTATTATATTTTAATGCTTGTTCAGTCTGAGGCTTACTAAGGTTAGTGATCTAGTCTCAATGCTAGTCATGTGCTGGTTTTGAGGCATGATAAAGTTGGTATTAGAGAAATAGGTCAATTTGAGTGTAAATGGAGTAAGGTCATTTTGCAATGTTTTTATTATGATGGTGAGGGCCTTACTTTCATAACAAAGGGATTGCAGAAGGCCTATCAGGATGTTATCTGTATTTCTGTGTTCGAATTTCTAACACCTGCCTATCCTGAAATCATTCTAACATCTAACCTTCTGTTTTATAAATGGACTCTCCACGCAATACACATACTCCATCTCAAGATATAGTAGATCTTAAGGCATCAAGAAATCTCTTGAAAGGATTAACGCTTCCATGTCCTAGAGGGAGAGGCTATCCTAAAGGGCACGAGAGGACCATGAGACAGCCTGGAGGGCTGACTGCTAGTAAGGGTGTTGCACCCTCCTCTATAGCTCCCGATGTGTTAGCGAGTATTTTGACTAGTATCTAGGGGCTTCAACAGATTATGATTGAGTTTATTAGGAGC